TTACTTTTTGTTTACGATTGCTAGGATATGATTCCATCCGAAAAAGTGAAGGCCCTCTAATGCTGTGTGTTTCTAATTTATGCAATAATATACTAAGTGACATATAAAGGGTAAAAGATGGGGTTCTAGAACTTCGTGGATATAACGCTGCGCGTTCATGTTACCTCTGATGAAGATTAAAGGTGACCTGGAACCATAAGCTATAGCACCCCAAACCATAACTCCAACAGTGTGATGAACATGTCTTTCAACAAAAAACTGTGGATTCCTCCTTTCACCACGTCGCCTTCTAACCCTTACACCGACGTAATCGCCTTGAGTGGTGCAGACAACGGTCACTCTGGGATCAGGAATGGAACAGTATTGTCTTTAGTGACGAGTCTCGATTTTGTTTAGGCATGCACGATGGTCGTGCCAGGGTTAGAAGGCGACGTGGTGAAAGGAGGAATCCACAGTTTTTTGTTGAAAGACATGTTCATCACACTGTTGGAGTTATGGTTTGGGGTGCTATAACTTATGGTGCCAGGTCACCTTTAATCTTCATCAGAGGTAACATGAACGCGCAGCGTTATATCCACGAAGTTCTAGAACCCCATCTTTTACCCTATCTTGACACCCTGGCAGATCCAACTTTCCAACAAGATAATGCCCGACCACATGTTGCAAGAGTCACAATAGACTTCTTTCAACATAATGATGTCACATTGTTAGCATGGCCACCAAGATCTCCCGACTTATCCCCAATTGAGCACGTGTGGGATATGATGGGTAGGAGATTGCTCAATGTGCAACGTCCTCCTCAGACTCTAGAAGCACTTCGAGAGGAGTTGGTGGTTGCCTGGAATGAGAACCACAGGAGGACATTGACCACCTGATCAGAAGCATGCCTAAGCGCGTTGGAGAATGCGTAGCACATCAGGGTGCATCCACACATTATTAAAGGTCAAGGGGCTTTAATGCAGTGCAATCATTTTGAAATGTTTATCATTTACTTATTATGCTTTATTAAGTACTTATACAAAATTTTATTAAAATAAAACCATTTAAACTGGCTGTTCGGATTTATATGTCACTTAGTATATATTGTGATCTAGGCAGTCATACGCGTTAGTAAGGTCAAGAAAGATACCCAGTACCCTCTTATTGTTGTCCAAGTCTACTATACTATTCAGAATAAGCTTATCAGCAACTGAGTTAATTTTCTTGTAATATAACCATGTTGAGTTTCCTTTATCAGGTCATTTAGAGTTAAAAAAATTAGCTTTCTATTATTATGCAAAGTGTTCGAAAAATAGTTGTAGATATTTTGGAACTTGTTAAAAAAAATCAAAAAAGTTTCTATAAACCGAAAATGCAGTTTTCAAGATACTGGTAAATTTAAAAAAAAAATAATATCTTAGAAAATATTTAACCGATTCTCTTGGAATTTAGCAATATTATTTGTTGTATTAAGAGGCTGATTCAGCCCTAAATAGATTAAAATTATGAGGTCCAGTGGCGTCCCGGGGGCACCTTAGCGAATATTATTGGCAAAAAAATGTACGCCACCGCCTTTTTGTACACTTCAATATTTGATGTTTGATTAAGCATCTAAAGATACAACTTCTTCACCTCTTTCGTATCTTACTTCGTTTTCGATAAAAAAAACATTTTATTGCATGTCACTGGACAAAATTGGCTTATTAATTTTTGCTAAAAAAATCGCAAGTTCCTTGGAAAACAAAAAATCGTTTCTGCATGGAGGTTTGACATTTCCGCGTCAGTTCTTCTAGAAAAGAATTGTCCACGTAATTTTCTTTGCCTAATTTCTCTAAGAAGTTTTTGTCTCAGGTTTTTTATGAAAAATTACACTTTTGAGGAAATGATAGACATGCACGTGCTTATAGTAACTGTCGGACACTTTCGACAAAATATGAAAATAGCCGAATGCGGTTTTTTACTGACAACATGTTTGAATGGAATATTCTCAGGATTGTGTAATTTGGTAGAAGATTTCCGGAGTTGAAAGATATTTATGCTTGTCAAGATGACATTTCGTCAATCGTAAAGCATCCCACAAACCGGCGCGAAATAATCGCGGCGAAGTATTCGCAACGAAATTCAGAGCGAAATTCGCAATCTGTTTCGCCTGTTTATTCATACCAAAGCGTCTTATTCGCTCCGCGAACGTGAAGGTTTCGACAGGTTGCGTACATTTTATTTTTGCCTTTTGCAATGAGCTCGTCTTCAGAAGAAGAGGAGGCACTTCAATTTCTTGCTTTAGAAGAGGAACAAAATGCACGGTAAGTTATGTTTATTTAACGCCATTTGATAGTTGAGTATGTATTAAGTTTAACGAAGTACATAAAACAAATATTTTCAATTTTGTTTAGGAAACGAAGGAAGTGGGTACATGATATTAACGTGGAACGAAATAAATTTGGAGAATACCATACCTTGTTGCCACAACTTCGGCTGGATGAACAGCGCTTTTACGTATATTTTAGAATGACTCCAGAGTGTTTCGATGAAATATTGAACTTGGTGAAAGATGAAATACGAAAATCTGACACAAATTATCGTGAAGCTATTTCGCCAGAAGAACGACTTGCTATTACACTCAGGTAAAAAAATTATATGTATTAAAATTAGTAGGCTTATCGAATACGAAAACTTCAGGGATCGTGAAATAAATATTTTATTGTAATAATTGGACTACATGTTGCCACTAGGATTAAATGTTGCTAAATAATTCGACGCAGAATTTGCCTCCTCTGTTGGGTATATTATTGGAGTAAACCCAGTGCCGCTTGGGAAGGACGACATACTACTATCATACATACTTGCAGAATTCTGGGTAGACGCTGAAGACATTTCTTCAATATGTTCAAATTCTTCGTGCGCTATTAATTCGGCTATTTTTAGTTTTATTCGGGCTTGACACTTTAAGGGAAGTGTTTTCACAGTCTGTGCATGTGCCAAGAAAAGTGAATCAATGGCCTCGTTCTCTTTTTTAGGTTTTTTACCTTCAAAATAATTAATAAGCTGTTGTACAGACGAAGATGGTGGTTCATAGCGTTTTCTGCTCGTTTTATATTTTGGTGTAGTTGCAGTCTGCGGAAAGGTGTGCCCTGGAGTAGTCACTGCTGTAGTGTTCAATGAAGAAGGTGGTGCTGTCTGTGTTGCCGAGGCGTTCTGTGCATCTTCTGCATCTACATCAGCATTTTCATCTTCTCCATGGCCGCGGTCTTCCAAATCGGTTTCTACATTTCCAGTCCTTTCCTGATATATATTTGAAGTAAATTCGGCAGTCTCATAATGTATGACGTCAATATCTTTCACATTAGACGACGTTTTGGCAAATGCCAAAAAAGGACGGAAAAATTCCATGTAGTCAGCCCACTGCCATTTCTTTATGTTGCCCACTGCTTGGCCGGTCTTTGGTTTGGTAGATTTTATATATTTTGCAAATGTGTCTCTGATATTCTTCCACCTTTTTTTTACTTCATCACCTAAAAACGATTTTTTTATAGATTCCTTGCCACTGGTGACACCTTCTATACCATTGGGCATAGCTTTCGAGTTGGCTTTACAACAGTGAGTGCAATCGTAACCGAAGTCTGTGAAGCGATATGCAGACATATGGAACATATATATTTACCAGAACCAACAGAGAATATATGGAAAAAATGTGCTGAGGAATTTGAAAATAGATGGGGATTTCCCAGTTGCATTGGCAGCGTGGACGGTAAACATGTAACAATCAAGAGACCTAACAACAGTGGTCCAATTACTGGTGCTATTTACATAAATATTCAATAGTACTTATGGCCATTGTTGGCCCGGACTATAAATTTATATGTGTTGATATTGGTGGTTTCGGAAAAAATAGTGATGGGGGTATTTTCGAAACCTCAAACATGGGAAAACGATTTGAACAAAATTTAATGAGTGTCCCTGCACCTAGATTTCTCCCTGGGCAAAATGAAATCTGCTCGTACGTCTTAATTGGTGATGAAGCATTTGCTTTAAAACCATACCTTATGAGACCATTTCCTTATAAGCAGACTTTAACAGACGTCAGAAAAGAGAAATACAATGTAAGACTTTGTCGAGCTAGAAGGGTCGTGGAAAATGCGTTTGGTATTTTGACTCAAAAATGGCGAATATTTTACAGGCCATTAGAAACTAAAGTAGATACTACTATTCTAATTGTACGTACGGCATGTGTTTTACACAATTTTTTACGAAGTAAAAGTGGCGGTGACAAATATTTTCAATTCTTAGATCCCCCAGAACCCGTGCTTGGAGCTTTTACTGATATAGCAAATGATCCTCGGCGGGCAGCAAGGCTAGCATTTTCTACTCGTGACAAATTCGTAAATTATTTTAATTCTGATGATATGCCTATGCACAATATAGGTATAGAATGTTCGTTTTCATATTTGTGTAGACTGTAAATTATTTAACAAGTTAATAAAAAATATTAGGTACATACCATTTGTATTTAATTCTTTTCCTATTTCTATCCAAATCTTGTCTTTCTTTCTCACATTCCTGTATTCATCGTTCGACAAATCATACAAACAAGGATACTTGTTCACTATTTCTATCAATAATTCCGTTTTTGCCATTGCGAATTTTTGAAGAACGGCGTCAAAAACGCGGTCAAAGGCGAACTGAAATACGCCGCGATAAAAACGCTGGAACAATCGCATTCGCTTCGCACAAGTCTGAGCCTGTCCATAAAACGCCGCGTTTTAATCTGATCGCGAATTCATCGCCGCGAAATTTTCGCAGCCAAAGCGAATATTTCGCGCCGGTTTGTGGGATGCTTAACTGTAGATGGCGACCTATAGGGAAATTTTCGATACCTACTGCGCAATTTTCACTGAAAATTTAGAGAAATTTTCACTGTAATTTTGCGATAATTCCACACCTCTCCTGGTATTTTTTGTACATGAGGAAAATATTCGGAAAAATAAATACTATACTACTTATAATAATACTATATAAAGTACCTTCACTTAGAAGTGGTCCAACGAAGAAAGACACAACAGTTGACAAGTAAATACCGATATAAAATAAGCACTTATTTCTCAAAATGTCGTGGTATCGCACATACACCTTTTTAAGTTTTGAGTCTCTTATCATTTCTATTGTCCAAAAATTATCACGCATAGTTTGAAGCAGCTCCACAATTTCTCGTTTTTTGAAAAACATGCAACTCTCATCGATCAAGGTCTAGAAATGTGTCATTTGTTAGCATATGTAATCAGCGAAAGTAAACAAATTTTTGGTCTAAGAAACAAGCTTAAAAATCGTTTGAAAGTAAAATAATCTTAAAATTCCTTTCTTGGTCTTATAGAGCAATGTTTTAACTTTGATTTAGATACATGGCGACCGCGAAAATTATAATTCTTAACCTAGTATTATGACATTGATATAGTTGAGTAATTTATTTTAACAGTGAGTAGATCTGATCAAAAGAAATGTTTTTTCCTTTACCATTTTTCTGGTAAAATTAAAGTAACAAAGTTATAGCCCTTTGGAAGTTTGAGTACCGCCCTGTCTCAATAATAATATTATGTGCTCGTGTTTGGCAACAACGGACATAATCCGCCTTATCGGTTCATCGCATCGGAAACAAAAAAGCGAAAGAATTTGGAACGATGTTTTTACAATTATTTTATTCAGTTGTATACACAGTCAGTGTCAGTCGGTAACGCGTGAGTGAATAGTGGTGTCTGTTGCGTGGCTCAAACGAAATAAAAAATGGCACATGTTTATGCGGAGCGGTTTCCCAATCGAGTGCAACCAACCCCTCGTGCCTTTGTTAATGTAGTACAACGGGCTCGTGAATCAGGTGACTTAAGAACTCACAGGGGACGGTGCTTCAAGACCTCACGATCAAATACAGGTCCGCACTGAAATACTTGTCGGGAGGATACTTTATAAAACAAGGTAAATTTTTTTTTTTATTTTTTTTATTTTTACACACATATTATCTTCCTTCTACAATCATTATCTGAAAATTAATGACTCAACTTCAAAGCTACCCTGTATTCCCATTTCTGGGATTCTTTAAAAAAAATACAAAAACATATTTTTTCCTCGTTCATTTTTTCATGTTCTTTCGATCATTCAAAAAGGACTTCAGTAACTTAAAGTTGATCGTTTTCGAGTTATAAGCGAGTTGATCTCTGCAAAAAACCCTATAAATGGGTGTGTGCTTAAAAAGCCGGTTAAAAATTGTAATTTTTCAGGGAGTAAGCTATACAGGGTGTTTCAAATTCGACCCTCACCATTGGGATCTCGGAAACTGTAAGAAATACGAAGTCTTCAAATGGGGCAAAGTAAGTTTCGAAATTCAAATTACTTCTGGAAAGCGACGAAAAAAAACGAATTTACTCAAAATCGTTTTAATTTTTTCGTGTTTTTATTTGTAGTGGAATTTCAAAATAAACTGCACATCGACGTTGCCACTTTCTCTCTTGTACAAGATGGCATAATGTGCATTTCAATATGACGTTTCGTCTCTTGCCCTCCAGCATCAGCTTTATTTTTCTTATGGACGCCGTATTGGATTTTGCAACGATGAATTGATTTTCCAATACTGATTCCAAAAAACTGGTATACGAAACAAATGACTATCTGGTTTCCAATGCCTACGTAGGATATTCTGCTTTTTTGAATAGCTAAGGTTTGGCACCGTTAATGTATGACATATCGTAAATTTTTGGAAACCGAATTAGAAACTCTATTCATCTGTGCAAAAATCCAATAAGGCGTCAATAAGAAAAATAAAGTTGATTCTGGAGGACGAGAGACGAAACGACATATTGAATTTCTAAGTATGCCATCTTGTAGAGGAGAAAAGTGGCCAAACTGAACTTGAAATCCCATCATAAATAAATTTAGGGAAAAATTGAAACGATTTTTGGAAAATTATGTTTTGTCGGTCTCTCTCCGAAAATACTTTGAATTTTGAACGTTCCTAAGCGGCATTTTGTTGATTACCAACTTTGCCCCCATTTAAGGGACTTAAAACCTTGCTCTACAAGACCCCGAAAAGTCTACTTATATTTTAATTATTTTTTAAGCGCTTTTCTAGCTTGGAACTGATGATTTTCGTTAACCGTACCTATAGATTACTTTCAAACTATACTAAGTGACATATAAATCCGAACACCCAGTTTAAATGGTTTTATTTTAATAAAATTTTGTATAAGTACTAAATGAAGCATAATAAGTAAATGATAAAAATTTCAAAATGATTGCACTGCTTTAAAGCCCTTTGACCTTTAATAATGTGTGGATGCACCCTGATGTGCTACGCATCCTCCAACGCGCCTAGGCATGCTTCTGATCAGGTGGTCAATGTCCTCCTGTGGTATCTCATTCCAGGCAACCACCAACTCCTCTCGAAGTGCTTCTAGAGTCTGAGGAGGGCGTTGCAAATTGAGCAATCTCCTACCCATCATGTCCCACACGTGCTCAATTGGGGATAAGTCGGGCGATCTTGGTGGCCATGGTAACAATGTGACATCATTATGTTGAAAGAAGTCTATTGTGACTCTTGCAACATGTGGTCGGGCATTATCTTGTTGGAAAGTTGGATCTGCCAGGGTGTCAAGATAGGGTAAAAGATGGGGTTCTAGAACTTCGTGGATATAACGCTGCGCGTCCATGTTACCTCTGATGAAGATTAAAGGAGACCTGGAACCATGAGCTATAGCACCCCAAACCATAACTCCAACAGTGTGATGAACATGTCTTTCAACAAAAAACTGTGGATTCCTCCTTGCACCACGTCGCCTTCTAACCCTGGCACGACCATCGTGCATGCCTAAACAAAATCGAGACTCGTCACTAAAGACAATACTGTTCCATTCCTGATCCCAGAGTGACCACTCAAGGCGATTACGTCGGTGTTCTCGAGTTAAAGGGAGGACCCAGTGTGGCCGGTATGAAAACTTCTCATTCGTCGGTAAACACTTCGCATGCCAATAGGTCTTCCGTGTTCTGCAAACCATTCACTTGCAATGGACCTGGTAGTGGAGAAACGGTCCCTTAAGGCCAATAATCTCAGGCGGCGATCTTCACGGCCTGTTGTTCTACGGCGGCGTCCAGTGCCCCTTGCTCTTTGCGTACGGCCTTCTCGAAGCCATGCCTGACAACACCTAACCACAGTGGCTACACTTCTTTGCACTCTAACTACAATTGCCCGAAAAGAAAGTCCAGCTTCCCAAAGTCCCACTGTACGGCCCCTATCAAACTCACTAAGTTGACGAAATCGTACAGGTCTCCGTACTCTAGGCATCGTAACCGATCGTAAACGATATCAAGAACCAAAATCCGCCAACTTTGATTCTTTACTGCGGCTGAAAGATTCATTTTTAGAGCGTTAGTGAATTAAAAAAAAGCAGTATAAAAACCGGAATGTCCAACTGATAAGGCTGAAAATTTTTTCACTTGTTATTTACAGTAAGATAAATACGTTCACCAACTTTTATTAAAATAAAACCATTTAAACTGGGTGTTCGGATTTATATGTCACTTAGTATAATTTCCATTTTTTTTTCTAAAACTTCAACAACCCGAGTTTTTGTAAGAAAACATTTTTGGACCATAGTTTATAAAGCAAATTAACATTAATTTATCATGTAGATTCACACCCTTAAATATTCGGATATCATATATGAGATAAATCTAAATACAAAACTTACATGAACAACTAGTAACATACAAGAAACTGCATCAAGAACCTCTAAAAACGTCGGGGATACTTTATCATGGAACTGATACAATACTAGCCAGGATAAAAAAGAGGCTGATGTCAAATAGATGATCAATCCCAAAATTTGAGATGCTCTATAGCCTTTTTCAGGATGGATTCCTGATACGCTAAAGAAGCTAAAACACAGCCGAATAGTAAAGAAGTACATTTTTATGAACGGTGTTCCTGATTTTGTTGCAATATTTATATAAGCTTAGAGGATAGAAGATTACAAGCCTCTAATAAAAATTGTACCGGTGAAATCAATTATTCATTCCACAGAAGTAAAGATTACCGACGAAATTGCTTTCAAGGTAATGCGTCGCTTTGAACTGTTTTAAACATGATGAAGCTACCCTTTCATTCACTCCAATATACAGGGTGACTTTGAAGTTGAGTTATTAATTTTCAGATAATGATTGTAGAAGGAAGATAAACCAAAATATGCGTGTAAAAATAAAAAAAAATTTACCTTGTTTTATAAAGTATCCTCCCGACAAGTATTTCAGTGCGGACCTGTATTTGATCGTGAGGTCTTGGAGCACCGGCATGCCGTCCCCTGTGAGGTCTTAAGTCACCTGATTCACGAGACCGTTGTACTACATTAACAAAGGCACGAGGGGTTGGTTGCACTCGATTGGGATACCGATCCGCATAAACATGTGCCACTTTTTATTTCGTTTGAGCCACGCAACAGCCACCACTATTAACTCACGCGTTACAGACTGACACTGACTGTATACAACTGAATAAAATAATTGTAAAAACATCGTTCCAAATTCTTTCGCTTTTTTGTTTCCGATGCGATGAACCGATAAGGCGGATTATATCCGTTGTCGCCAAACACGAGCACATAATATTATTATTGAGACAGGGCGGTACTCAAACTTCCAAAGGGCTATAACTTTGTTACTTTAATTTTACCAGAAAAATGATAAAGGAAAAAAACATTTCTTTTGATCAGATCTACTCACTGTTAAAATAAATGACTCAACTTCGAAGTCACCCCTGTATACTCAGTGACATTAGTGTTACACCCAGGAAAAATAATTTCTTCAACTTGATTTCTTGGCGGTGAGGTAGTCTTACATCAAGAATGAAACGATAACATTCCCACAAAATTTTATTGACAATAATAATAATAATGTCTATTGGTCCAATTACAAAGTTTTCGTATAAATAATACCGGCAATGTCCAATAAACATAATGTCCCAAAAAAGTGTACACTTGTGCTTGAGTTTTTACCGAAGTTGAGTTATATTAATACAACAAATTTTATTTAAATATACTAGTCAAATCTATAAATTTGCATCATTTTATAATCAAATAACATATAGATTTTTAGTGTCAACAAACTTATGGATTTGTAGCCTTGGTTGATTTAGGATCCATGATTTTAAATTTGGAATCTACGCAGCCGATTTACCCAGAAAACAAGTTTCCATCTCGATCATAGACGCGCAAGGGATTTTAGAAATTTTTTAGCCAGTATCTTGAAAACGACGCATTTTCGGACGGAATGGGCCATGGATTCGGTGCCAGCGACCCAAAAAGCGTATTATAAGATATGTTGCGTTCACGTTCCCGACTGACCCATTTTGTGACTTTTTGGTAAGAATACCCCATACATGGTAATTATATGTTAAACTATGCGTTTTTGCG